TGAAATGAATACTATGAAATAATATGATTTTAAAATTTATAATTATAAAATTGGAAAAAAAAACAAAATAAACTTTGTATCATAAAAAACGATGCAGTGAAGGATTGTATGTTGGTTTGAGTTTATTTACGTACTTACTCGTACGCATTTGTGTATGTTTATGTTAATATGTGTGTGTTTGTTTGTCTTAACATGTTTGTATATATATATATATGTGTGTGCGTGTGTGTGTGTGTGTGTGTGTGTGTGTGTGTGTGTGTGTGTGTGTGTGTGTGTGTGTGTGTGTGTGTGTGCATAGATGTATGTGAGTTTATATGTTTATATATGGTTGTGAGCTTCATATATGAGTTTTTTGAGAAGAAAAACTTTAGAAATGAAACTTGACTACTTTGTTTTAAAAAATTTTGAAGAGCTAAACCATCGAAACAACAACGAATGATAATAACAAATCCCACAACAACAAAAACAATAATAATAACAACAATAATAATAATAATAGTAATAATCATCATGGATCTCTCGACAAATAACAAAAAAATGAATAATAAAACGTTGATACAAACTAATTCAACTTAATATATGAATGTAATTTACTTACTAGAACAGAGCCTTATATAACAAACATACGATGTACATGATTATTTCTAATAATAATTATGATTATTATTATTAGTATTATTATTATTGTTATTAGTATTATTATTATTATTATTTAAAATATATAATATTAGGAAGAGAAAGAATAATAACTTAGAGCACCAGTAACAGCAAAAAACCAATACTTACTCTCCAGCAATAATACATTATCAGTTATAGTCATACTATAGCTATTTATATATATTTGTTATTGAAGGAGATATATATAAATTGAAATAACAATAATAACAAAAACATATGTATATATATATATATAAATATATATTTATTTATATAAACATATAATACTAATATTATTTTATATATTTAACGTGATATATATCTGATATATTAAAAACGTTAAAATTTTGCTAAAACTTATTATACATGCAAATAAGTTATGTTACATATATAATACTAATTCATAATAGGCATACATACATGCTTACATACTTACAATCATTAAATTTTTCCATATATATATATTTTTCTTGATAAGTTTCTCTTTGTTAGCACAAAGCATTCATCTTTTATATATAAATAAAAATTTTATATATGTGTATATTGGTTTTAATGTATGTATGTATGTATGTATGTATGTATGTATGTATGTATGTATGTATGTATGTATGTATGTATGTATGTGTGTATGTATGTATGTATGTATGTATGTATCAATGTATGTATGTGTATATGTTTGATGATTTCAATTACAAAATGATGATGATAAATAATGCTGATAAAGATAACAGCGTGATGACGTGGGCGTTTCTGATAGTGACGTCATTTATAGTGATGATGACGTCACGGAGATGATGGTGATTAATTATACGCTCACAAAAGGGATAACGAAGGGAGATAAATTCTCATTTCCACCTTGCGCTCATTAACATGGCTTCCAAAATAAAGAGAAAAAAAAACACAACACACAGCCCAACCCTATTTTATTAAATGACGTCATTAACAATGTTTTTGTTTGTTTCCTAATTTTGTTTATATTAGCTCGGTTGGATGATTAGAAGTTATTAGGTTAGATTTGAGTTTTTTTCCTGATAAAAAAGACATCTGTCTACAAACTTTTTCTTGATTTCATTTTGGGAGTTTCGTTTCATCCGGAGAGTGCACTTCGTTAAAATTTTGTTAGAATTGATGAAATAAATTTATTTTTATGTAGTAATTAGTTTAATTTTTAATATATTAAAAAATTGTAAATTTTAATATAATCTATTTGCGATGGAATCTTGATAGTTTTTTAATTGCAATTTTTTTATTTTTTAGTCTGCCAGGTTGAATTTTTTAAATTTCAAAGTTTTGGTATTTCAAATCTCTCTTTTTTTTTATTTTCAATTAGTTTTTTCACTGATTTGTTGATAAAATGTCAAGAATAATAAATTCAGCACTGTTCGTTTTTCTAGCAATATCGACAAACACATCGCGCTAACTCACGAATTTAGACATCTCATTTTAACGTAGTGCTAGTATATTTTAAACTGAGTTTTTCCAAACATCTTTCTCCAACAAACGTCTTCAAAAATCGAAAAACACACGCAAAAACGCACTAAACGACACCTACACAAACAAATTCACATAGAAACACACACACACACATACATACATACATATAGCATAAAAACACACGCATACACGAAAATCACACACATTCCCCAACTTAAAATCTATGAACACGAACACAGACCACTCAAAAAAACGCCACGACAGATGTCAGAGAACGCTCAAATCGGCGTGAACGGCTTCGGCCGAATCGGTCGCCTAGTGACTCGCGTCGCGATCCGTCGCGGCTTCAACGTGAATGCCATCAACGACCCGTTCATAGACGTCGACTACATGGTCTACATGTTCAAATACGACACAGTTCACGGTCGTTGGCCCGGTACGGTCAAAGCCAAGGACGGTAAACTTATTATCGATGGAAAAACTATTGAGGTTACTAATGAGAAAGATCCGGCTAAGATTATGTGGAGGAGTTCCAATGTGGATATTGTGGTTGAGTCGACAGGTGTTTTTACCACTTTGGATAAGGCCAACCAGCATCTGATTGGTGGAGCAAGAAAGGTAGGTGGTCGGTTTTATTGGGGATAAATTGATCTCAAGACAGCAATTAAATTACGTTTATACTTAACAGTGAATTTAATTATTTAATTTTCCATTTTAATATTTAAAAACATCAGCAAATGATTGCAATAGCAAAATGTTTAAAAAACAACAAAATAAGAATCAAACATTTCAGACACCACAAACAATCAATCTTTCGTTCGTCCCTACTAAGGTGATCATAACGGCGCCATCTGCAGACGCCCCGATGTTTGTGATGGGTGTCAATGAACACACGTACGACACCAGCTATAACATCGTCAGCAACGCAAGCTGTACGACCAACTGCCTGGCCCCCATCGCCAAAATCATCGACGAAAACTTCGGCATCGTTGAGGCTCTGATGACCACGGTACACTCGTACACGGCCACTCAAAAGGTTGTGGATGGTCCCTCAAATAAAGACTGGAGAGGTGGGCGACATGCGGCTATGAACATCATTCCATCTTCCACCGGTGCGGCTAAAGCTGTAGGTAAGGTGATTCCATCTCTGAATGGAAAAGTTACCGGAATCGCATTTCGAGTTCCAACACCGAATGTCTCAGTTGTCGATTTGACGTGCAAAGTTGAGAAAGAATGTACGTACGAAGAGATCAAAGAGGTCGTCAAAAAGGCCAGCCAGAGTCCCGAGTGGAAAGGAATTCTTGGCTACACCGAGGACGAAGTGGTCTCCTCCGATTTTACTACTACCACATTCAGTTCAGTTTTCGATGCAAAAGCCGGTTTAGGACTCAACAGAACGTTCTTCAAAATTGTGGCTTGGTACGATAATGAGTACGGCTACAGTAACAGGGTTGTCGATCTGGCTAAATATTTGGTCGACCAAGGCCTTTGAGATAGTAAAAATGAAAACTGTATGAAAATTGGAACAGGAAAGAAGGGCTGATTTTTGTTTAAGTGCCATGAATCATTTTAAAAGAAAATTTTTTAATTTTCGATCGTTTTTCTTACTTTTCTTATTTTCAAAATTTTCGATTTTTTTATTTTACTTTTTGTTATATGTTCTTCAAAAATTTAAAGTAATCAAAGTTGATTCAACGCCCGTTAAAAAGTTATTTCTCCATTTAATCTCATAAAAGAGCTACATAGAATGAGTTTTTCATTTAAAATTAAAGAATAAATAACGTCAAAATTGTTTTAAATAATATTATTTAATAATATAAATAGTAAATAAATAAATATTAGTAATAATAAAATAAATTTTTATAAACTTTGAAGAATATTTTCAGTAGCATTTGTACGCGTAGCGATTGTTTCGAAATTTAGTATTTATGTGCGTGTGTGTTACCAGATGTAACTTTTAAAATTTTCCTAAATCATAATTATATTCATAGAAAATATATAATTATATTTAATTATAGCATAATAATTATTTTTTAAATAATTTTTAATAGTTCGTAATTCGCGATTTTAACATTTTAATAAATGTTCGCCTGTCTCGGTTGCACTATTTTCTTAAAAAGATATTTAACCTTTAAAATTTTTATTTTAAAACCGTTTAATTTTTGTAATAAAAATTTTAAAAAACTTAATTTTCCATTAATAAAATGTGTAATAACATCACATCGATAAGAATTTAGCACAATTTTGGTTTGACAAATACAATGAAACCATCGCCCTCCAGATCATAATTAGATAGTTTCACAGTTTGAGTGCCCTAATTTTTACTTTTATCAATACACTCTTACATTTTACATCTATCAATACTTACGAAGATACCCTCTTTGCAAATGCTACTGAAAATATTCTTACAAGTTTATAAAGATACATCATGTTTTTCCTTATAACCATGCAACCGAACAATTTTATTTATACACTAATTTCTTCCCTATGAAGATTTCATTACATATTTTCTTAGGCTACATTTCTCAAAGATACATTTCTTACATTGGGTGGTCTGTACATTTTTTTACTAGCCAAGGCCTCGTGAAACAAATCCGTGCTGTGAAAGAGAATCAAACAATTTGCAGTTTTTTTTTTATCGTCAGCGTGTTGAAGAAATCGGAATTAAAACTACATAGATGGATTTTTAACGCGCACCTTTCTGTTTACACACATACACGCAAACACACACACGCAAGCACACACACACAAGCACATACACGAACATACATATACTCAAGCACACACAAGCCCATATATAATCAATATATGTTTTTAAACTGTTGTTAGTGTATACTTATCGTATCCATGATATGCATGCAATGTTTTATGCCATCTAGTCTTAATTTATTGCTTTAATATCCATGACTGACAAATTTTCATCTATTTCCTGTTGATCTGTAGGCTCAAATAATGTTTAAAAGAACCAAATTAGTCACGTTTCGATAAAGTAATGTTTGGAGCAATCCAAATTGGTTTTATTTTGATCATATTAGTAGGAAAAGTAGTTAGCTTGAAGTGTTTCCAGCCAAGAAGAAACGTATTCCAAATCTCAAGCAACTTAACCTCGGATGAGAATCCCCTACCTGCTGCTGGCTGCAGTCTTTGTGGCCAGTTAATTGAAGACGATTCAACAGTTTTTCAGATTTTGACATTCAATATGACAGCAGCAGCGGCAATAGCAGCAACAACGGCAGCAGCAGAAGAAGTAGCATCAGCAGCGGCAGCAGTAGAGTTCGACAACAACGTGTTTTATGTTCGAATGGAATGTACGCTGATATGTGCATCTGATATCAAATGTGTTGGGTTTAATTTGAGAATATTTTCCACTGGTTCTACCTTCCAATGTCAAATGTTCTCAGAGAGCTCTCAGTTGTATATCGCAGATGATTTTTGCGTCTATTACGAAGTAATGTTTGTTGGTTTATTCGTTCGATTGTTTGTTTGTTCGTTTACGTTCGTTCGTATGTTTGTTCGTTCGTTCGTTCGTTTGATTTTAACTTGTTTTTCGTTTGTTATGAAGCTGTTGAAAACAACATTTCATCATTTGAAAATATTTTTTAGACAGCTACGACCCAGCCAGCTGAAAAAATACCAGGTTGATATAATAAAAATTATATTGAAAATTTTGTTTAAAGACGTCTGTTTCTGATTTGCAGTGGCCAGGTTCGAATGCACATAGATACCGGTCTACAGAAGGCAACATGTGAAAACACAATTTTCACGCGTATATGTTTCAGAACGGTTTGCATGTGTGCGTGCGTGTGTATGTTTGTTTGTGTGTGTGTGTGTGTGTGTGTGTGTGTGTGTGTGTTTGTGTGTGTCTCTTTCATTGATGTATACTAACTTAAAAAACCATTTTAATGTAAATTCTTCCTGGAAATACAAATTTTTTTCAAAGATTTACATCCAAGGAATTCTGAATTTTGTTCAGAATATTCCACTAAGAACCAGTACTTTGTTAGTATTTATAATAAGTACGGTTTAATTTTATTTTGAAATGTCTTTTGGAAAATCTGTCATCCTTATTTGTGAAACTATCGTTCAACATCATAGTTTTAAATTTTCATACTTCAAACACTTTAGATAATAATTTGCCGCAAGTAAAAAAAAATTTGAAAAGAAATTTTTTTTAATTTAAATAAGGAACTAAGTAAATTCTGGAGAAGCATGTTACTATCTCAATCAATTAATCAATTCTCCACGCAAGCATTCAACTAAAACATTCCCAAGACACACAAACAAACACACACACAAACACAAACAAACACACACTAACACATACACACACTCGAGCACACGTTTGCAATAACAGACATAGCCTAACAAAAGGAGTGACTTTGAATGTAACATTAACGAATATGACATTAACATAAACGACTTGCTCACTACATTAATCGATACTATACTATCCGAAGTAATTCAGAAAAAAACACATGAGAAATAAGATACTCTTACGAAATATTACATCAAAACTACTTAGTCAATATTTCCGAGAACAATGGAAGCTTAAAAAACAATTTCTTTTCGTCTTTAAAACATGCTATCACGGAATCTCCATTCATATGTAATGAATATATATATTGATTTGTTGCTGTAATTATCAATGTGCTTGAATGAAAATCTAAAAAAACCTCAAGCGCACACACACACACACACACACACACACACATATATATATATATACGCATGAACACGTACACACACGCACGCACACACACACATACAATAGCTACACATGGAATCATTGTTCATTACAGCATGAATAATAGATATCTGCAACCATGAGAAATATTATTGACGGAATTTTACGAATAAAAATTTGGGAAACATACCAAACTAATTTTTTATCTACTTGCTCAATTTATTTTTTTACTTCAGGTGATTCAGAGAAGGATGGATGGCTCTGAAAACTTCTTCAGAAATTGGGAGGATTACAAGAATGGATTTGGTGATCCGTGCAAAGAATTTTGGATTGGTTAGTTTGGCAACCACTCGAGAATTATAACTGTTTTAAAAGTGTCGAAGTGGTTTAAGATTTTGTTAGGGGGGGTTTTAAGACCTTGTTGAGGGGTTAAGATTTTGTTAGGGAGGGGGTTAAGATTTTGTTGCAGAGCCTTACAACAAAACTCGACAATCTAAACATTGAAATTTGATTTACAATTATCAGGGAATGACAACCTGTACCGTTTAACGTCGAGAAACAGCTACAAACTGGTGGTCGTGTTGGCCGATTTCGAGCGAAATGTGGCCTGTGCGGCTTACGATTCATTCAATGTTGGCTCGCCGGCGTCTAACTACACCCTGAATATCGGAAAATATATCGGGACAGCGGGTACACAAACTTTTTTCAGAAGTGAACAACAGACGGAATCATGATTAATATGTAATTTTCTTACAGGTGACTCACTAGCTGGCCACAATGGGATGCAGTTTTCAACGTATGATAGAGACAACGACCATGAAAGTTACAGTTGTGCGGCCTATTTCCAAGGCGCTTGGTGGTACAATAGATGTCACCTTTCCAACCTGAATGGCAGGTACCTAAGTGGATTCTACAACACATCATATGCTAATGGCATCAATTGGAAGACGTTTCGCGGTTTTTATTATTCTCTCGCATTTACTGAGATGAGAATTGAATTAATTTAACTCTAGGTGTACAAAACTATAAATGAGTAATTTTACATCAGCAAGCTTTTCTCAACTCTGCCTGATTTATAACTAACAATTCCCAAATGTAGTTGCTTTTAAATGAATTCTGTTTTTATAGTTTGTAATATGTAACTGCAGTTTGAATTTATTAGTGATATAAAAACTACAAAGACTACGAAAAAATTTCAATCAACTTTTAGTTTCCTAACAATTGTTTTGCTGACGAAAGATGATAAAAAGCAAAAATATCAATTCAATTAAATCGGTTGCGATAATGTCAAGATTAACACAAATGTCACTAAACAAATTGTATATATCATACGTATATAACAAAGTAAATTATACATATAAGGCGTCTGGTTCTGCTGTTGTAGTTACCTGGTTTGAATGCTAACAAACCCCATTTTGCTCATCTACTTGCATGTGCAAAGCGTGACTTGTATATATAGTACTGATGATTTACACGTATTTATATATATGTGTGTGTGTGTGTGTGTGTGTGTGTGTGTGTGTGTGTGTGTGTGTGTGTGTGTGTGTGTGTGTGTGTGGTGTTGATGTTTAAGAAGAATGTTTAGGGTAGAGATAGAATTATTACAAATATGAAATATACATAAACTAAATAAGTTACATAAAACCATGGATACATATAATACCCATCCACGCATAAAACCTGTATTGGTATATTGGTGTTCCATACATTTAAACTGTTGACCGAAAATTGTGGCTAACTTATCGTAACAATAAACAATCGCACGTGGTTGTTCGTCTCGTTTTTACTGTTTAATATTAAATTAATATTAATCATTTTAGACAAAAAATGGCTCGCAGAAAGCATCGGCCGGTAAATAATTCATCATTTTAAATATTTCAATTGATAAGTTAAAAAATTTTTTTAATATGTCTTTTGGTTTTGGTGGTTGATTTGATTTGAATTTGTTTGACTGATCAGCATCTGATGTTGATGATTGAAATTAAATTAATAAAGTTACTCCTCTATAATCTATAATGTAATTAGTTAGAATATCGCAAGGATCTACCTTCCGCACTTTGATGATTTTAGTAATTAGTAATAAATAATTTTGTAATTTTTGCCAGAGAAAAGGTAAATCGGCTAAGAAGGCCAAGGCAGCCACGGCCAACGCTGACGAAGAGTTTGCCAAAAATCCCCATAGTTTCATTTTTAATAGGAATCGAGTAGGCAGGAATGTGACTCGACTAATAAAAGATATGAGGAAAGTTATGGAGCCCTACACTGCTACTAAATTGAAGGTTTGTAGCCAATTAGTTATTTCATTTGAACATTCAAATTCATGTAATTTTTCATTTTACCATTTCACTTGTATCCTGATTTTAGTATTTTAGATGATGTTGATTTAATATTAATTAAATGTGTGAAGTTAGCAATTATTAAACAAATATAATAAAATAATCAAGTTAATTTTATTAGTGGTTGATTTATATATTTTTTACTAATTTTTGTAAAAAAAAAAAAAACTGGACACAAACAGGCCAGAAAAAAAAACCAGCTGAAAGATTTTATAAGCGTAGCTAGCATTTACAACGTCACACATCTTGTGATGTTCACAAAAACGAAGTTGGGCGTATACATGAAAATAGCCAGAGTTCCCCACGGCCCCACTATTTCGTTTAAAGTCGAGTCGTACTCACTTGCAAAGGATATCGTTTCCTCGTTAAAAAAACCGCATTCTGAATCTAAACAATTTTTGCACCATCCATTATTGGTTATGAACAACTTTGGAGGTGAGGCTCTCAACCACAAGATCATATCCTCCATGTTTCAAAATTTGTTCCCATCCATTCACATCAATAAGGTCTGGTTTCTGTTTTCAATTCTCAATATTCTCATCTTATCGGCATTTATTGCAAGTTATGTTTTGATTTTGGGAATGGCATGTCGTTTTTAGGATGATTTCTACTCGATTTTTATTTTACAATTTATTTATTCTAATAACTTCAACAAAATCGTATTACTGTATCACCCTTAACTTCAACTTAACTACATCACAACAACAAAAACAACAGCCATCATCAAAATGACACATTACATCAACCACCGACAACAACACCAAAAACTACGCTTAACAGGCTCGACTAAACGACTACAAACGATGTGTCGTCCTAAGTTACAATTCAGAAGAAGAGACAATAGATTTTAGGCATTAGTAAGTTGCAATTTTTAATACTCTACCATTCGTACCTAGACATGTATGTATGTATGTGTGTGCTTATGTATGTTTGTATGTATACAGGCAGTATGTTTGTATGTATGCAGGCAGTATGTTTGTATGTATACAGGTAGTATGTATGTATGTATGTATGCATATTTTACCACCCAGTAACATTCATGTCGTCCCAACTGGCCTAAGCAAGCCAGTGAAAAAATTGATAAAACCAAAGATACCAGATCTCTCGTCATACGTTGACATCAGTGATTTCGTTCTCAAGTATGTTTTTAATTATTTTTATTACTACTTTTAATCAATTTATGACGTAATGATGGCTATAGCATGATAATAAAAGTGACCATATGATGATGTTAGTACGATATGATTAATGGCTGTACTGATAACATATTTTTACTATTTCTTCAAAAACTTTTCATCAAGCTATAGCTTTTGTGATGGTGTGTGCGTGCGTGTGTGTATGCTTGTATGTATGTATGTACCTATCTATATTTATAATCTTTTTCCCCCCAGAAGTGGCAATCTGTCGGAGAGTGAGGCCGAGCAAGACGGTCCGGCCAATGAAGTTGTTCTGCCGCAGTTTGTGTCCGGTAGGGGGAACATCCCCTCGAGTAAAAGTGCAGTTAGGTTGTTATATTTTTTGTTTCTCTGCTGATTGCTACGTCATTGAGAAAGTAGAAATGTGTTTGTATGTGTGTGCGTGTGTGTGTGTGCGTGTGTGTGTGTGTGTGTGTGTGTGTGCGTGCGTGTGGTAATTGTAATAGAAAAATGTGTATGTAATAATTTGTTTGTCAACAGGTTGACAGAGATAGGTCCACGCCTAACGCTGAAACTGTTGAAGATACACGAGGGTCTGAGCAGCGGTGAGGTTCTGTACCATCGGTTCAGGGCCGGCCCTATCAATCCTCCCCCAAAGAAAAAAGCTAAATTAACTCTGGACAATGATGATGATGATAAAAAGAGTAATGATGATGATATGAAAGGTGCTGGTAATGATGTTAAAGATGACGACGACGATGATGATATGAACGTTGATAATTACGATGATGGTGGTGATGATGACGCGAAAGACGATGACGACAACGATGCAGACGTTTTCAATGATAGTGGTGATGATGATGATAAAGAAGAGGATGATGAGGATGATGCAGAAATGGAAACTGGCGGTAGTGATGACGATGATTAGTAAATTTTTTCCATTTATTTTTTTTTTGACAATGTATTATATTTTAAATTTGTGCATTAAGAGTTCGTGTATTTTATGCAATAGGCGGTAAATTATAAATATTTAATTGTATAAAACTATTCATCTGCGGTCACGCACATATTTAAAGAAATTATGATAACATACTATAATATAATGATAAACTATAACAACAATAAACTATAATAATAATAAACTATAACAAAGGAAAATCATACTGAATGTACCAATCAGTCGTGGTGATGTGAGTAAGAAAATGCAAAAATAGACCTGTATTATGATATATATATATTCATATATGCTTATTCTATGGATATATATGTATGTGCAAATATATAACATATATATAGTATATAAATCAATAATTCTTAACATAAATATAGGCTATGATGTTACTATACATACATGATTCATCACTATTGTTATTTTTCTACGTCTTCGAATACTATATAAACGAATAGGCCTTCTTCGGATATATGACATAACGGTTAAATGCTATTAGCGAAGTGTCTCTGGAGTGTAACTGTTAGATAAAATTGCTTATTAAAGGGTTTTCAGTAAATTAATAAATATATATATATCATATAGATACGTTTGAAATGTTTAAATTAAGTGTAAAGAGTTTAATGCTTGCCTTTTTGATGACTCTAGTACCAGCTCATTCACGAGGTTCGCTAATTCTGATTTTTAGTTTATTCAAGAGAATATTTTTATTATTTTGTAATTTCGTCTGTAATTCTGTCGGTAAATCAGTAAGTATGTCGGTAATTAAATTTGCAATTCATATAGTGGGACAGTAGTCTAGTTTTTGATCAAAGAGAAATCATTTCTATTCATCACGACATGTAGCTGCTACGTGTTAAATTTTCAATAAATATTTGTACAACATCACGATTATTGCTATAAAGCTGTTCGAGTATAAATGAAGTTGCACGCATCTGAATGTGTTATTTATAATGTTTATTCATTGCTTTAGTACTTCTGTTTGTGTCTTTGTATATGTGTCTTCTGTATATGTTTGTGTTTGTACGTGTGTGTGTGTGTGTGTGTGTGTGGGTGCCAAATGTGTCAGTAATAGCTTCTATTCAATATTGTTACATTATTCATAGGTTGTCATTTTTAGAGAGAATTTTTAGAACGCAAAAAACAATGAAAATTTTCAGTTAAATATATCGTAATATGACATTAACAAAACTTAATGTGTTAATAAAACATGGTGTAACGGTAAAATGGTAACATAGTAAAATTTTAAAAATTTATCGAAACTTTCATGCAATTTGGACCAACCATATTAGTAACTAAATTACTATCATGAAGAATATAGGCGCGTATGTTACTACACAAACTGGTCCCAGTATAGAGGCGGATCTGGAATATTTTTTCCTGAGAACATCGATCCCACTTTATGCTCCCACATCGTTTTTGCCTTCTCTCAGCTGGTAGGCAATCAGCTGCTACCATTCGAATGGAATGACGAGTCGACGCCCTGGTCTAAAGGACTGTAAGTTTCTACACTCTTTACATTTTTCTTTTTCTTCTATTTTCTCTCTCTCCATCAAACAAGCGATAAATTAAACCATTTCACCAAAAAAACCAAAACTACTAATTTTAAATTCTCCACACAGCTACGAGCGGTTCATAGCGATAAAGAACCAGAACCCAACTCTGAAAGCGTTGCTAGCTGTAGGTGGATGGAACGCTGGCACTTCTGAAATGACCAAGATGTTGTCGTCCAGTGAAAATAGGAAAACTTTTATAATAAGTTGCATCGGCTTCCTGAGAGCCCACAACTTCGATGGGATTGATCTGGATTTTGAGTATCCCGGCAGTAGAGGAAGTCCTGTCGAGGACAAGCAAAGATTCTCTTCATTCCTTAGGGTTGGTTTTGAAAATTTTTCCAAATTTATCAAGTTTCTGGCTATAATTTTAAATATTAATTATTTCGTTAAGAACTTTTAGAAAAAAATAACGAAAGTTAACTTCGTGTTGAAATAATATCGTTTTGAAATGATTTTGTGAAGAATTTTTAGCAAAAAAATAGAAATATAATTCCATTTTCTTTATTTCGTTAGGAATTTAGAGCGAGCATCGAGGAAGATAGCCAACAATCGGGCAGGTCGAAACTACTACTCAGTGCAGCAATCGCAGCAGGCAAGGACAACATCGACAGGGGCTATGATATCTCCGAGTTGAACAAGTAAACCAGTCAATTAATTAATTAATTGATTAATTAATTAATCAATCAACCAATTAAAGGATTAATATAAATAATTTTGACAATTTCTTTCAAAATGATTCAGTCATTTGAATGATTTAAAATTTGATGCTATTCCAGCAACCTGGATTTCATGAACCTCATGTCTTACGATTACCACGGAGCTTGGGATACTGTCACAGGTCACAGTTCACCACTATATTCCACCCCTAACGATACGTGGTGCTTGGTGTGTTTCTTATTGGATTAGTTTAATCATTTCGTACAATTGAATTTGAAATAATTCTAATTACTTTTATCTGTTAATTATTGCATGTTACGTTATGTTATGTTACAAAATGTCTTTGAACGTTTTTAATTTTTTAATTAGTTCATTCATTCATTCTTCTCTTCATTCATTCATTCATCTGTATGTTCATTCATTCGAACAGTTAAGCCCTGAAAAACAAAACAAGATTAGAAAATATCAACATGAAATATTAACAAAAGTAAAAATACAAAAATGAATTTTCAAAATTTCTCTTCCAGGATTTCAGCGCCAAGTACTTGGTCTCGAAAGGAGTCGATCCACAAAAGTTGAACATAGGCATGGCTACATACGGAAGATGTTTCAGACTAAAAAACGACCAAAAAAACTCAATAGGCGATGACGTCATTGGGCCATGTGACGCAGGGATGTACACTAGGGAGGCCGGATTTCTAGCTTATTACGAGGTACTTGAGACGCAATTTTTTTACCTTAACCATCCTCAATTCGAACTTCATTAAATTCAGAAATTTTCTTGAAAGCCTTTCCTTAGAAATAAATTCTTTACAAAAACTCAGATTTGCAAATTGTTGAAAGAGCCAAAGACCATCTCCCACTGGTCAGACGTCCATCAAGCACCCTACCTTGTTAGTGGAGATACCTGGGTGGGCTACGATAATGAAGAAAGCTTGAAACTAAAAGTCGGTTTTATTTTATTTTTATTATGAATAATTTAAAATTATTTCTTATTCATAATTTCATTATTGTTATTATTATTGTTTTTACTATCTTTAGTAGTATTAGCAGCAGCAATAGTAGTAGTGTAGTAGCAGTAGTAGCAGCAATAGCAGCAGTAGCAGCAGTAGTAGCAATAGTAATTATAAAAGTAGTGAAGTTGATAGCAGTAAAATTAATCATAGAAGAATAGTAATATTTCTGACATCATCAACAACAACAACAACACCACCTTCCTCATCATTGTTATAAATCTAATGATAGTAGTTTTCAATTGAAGGTCGATTACTTGAAGGCCGGCAAATTCGGCGGTTGGATGGTATGGGAATTTTCTCTGGATGACTTTGGCGGAAGCTTCTGTGAAAGTAGAATAAAATATCCCCTACTGAAAGCGTTAAATGATGAACTAAATAGGTGGGAATCTTTTAGTTTTACTAAAAGTTTAACTACTTTTTGTACTAATCTCTCTGTAGTATTTATCAGAAGTATAAAAAACAATACTGTTTTTACTGTACAATACTGGAATAGTCGGAGATTTAACCATTACACCTACACATCATTTATAATTTAAAAATTGATTTTCGGCAACCAAATGAGTGAACTAATATACAATGATTTTTTCAATTCGCAGTTTATTGTCATTTTAAGATTTATAAAACTTAATTGGCCACCAAAATAAGTGAATTAAATAGACGAAATGTTAAAAGTTTCATTGTCCTAAGTGAATTTAAATACTTATAAACTAATTTTTTTTTCAAAAAGAGACTCAACAGAACAACAAAACCCTATAAATACAACTTCCAAATCCACTTCCAGTCCCAAAAAAATAGTCACAATTCCTCTCACAACAATACCTAAGACTAACAAAAAAGCTACTGCCACCAGAAAAACAACAGTTACTACTAAAACAACCACAACAACTACAACTACTACAACCACAACTACTAAAACTACCATCACAACTCGCATACGGCGTCCTAGAACAACAGCAAGAACAACAAGGAAAACAACGACAACTACAAAATCGAATGAAATTTTTAATGGTACAAATTGTGATACTCCAACTGACAATAATTTATCAATTCATTCATTCATTCATTCATTCATTCATTCATTCATTCATTCATTCATTCATTCATTCATTCATTCATTCATTCATTCATTCATTCATTCATTCATCCATCCATTCATTCACTCATTCATTCATTCATTCACCCAATTCATTCGTTAATACTTCAACCCATCTATCCATTCATCTATTCATTTCTAATTACAATAACTTTAAATAAACCAGCATGTTGTTATACTAATTTGGCCTATCAATCAATTAATTAGATATTTAATTAATCAATTAAGTAAACAACCAGCCAACCAATCAATTAATTAATCAATCAATCAATTAAATATTTAAATTATTAATCAAGTAACAAATTAATTAACTGCAGATTATAAACGTGTATGCTACTACACGAATTGGTCAAGATACCGCGGTGGCCTAGGTCAATTTTTCCCAGAGAACATCGACTCGAGTTTGTGCTCCCATGTCATTTTTGCATTTTCCAAACTAGAAAACAACAACCTGCTAGCAACCGACTGGGATGACGACACGCAAAATGGATTGTTAGATTTTCATCGAACATTTGTGAAATAAATCTTATAAAATTTACAAAAATTTATAACCAAAAAAAAATAAATTTTTCAAGATACAATCGTTTAATCGGCCTGAAAGCCATTAATCCGTCATTGAAAATCATGATGTCAGTTGGAGGCTGGAGTGCCGGAACAACCGAGATGACGAAGATGATCTCCACATCCCAAAACCGAAAATCCTTCATCGATAATTGCATAAACTTTCTAAGGGAGAGAAATTTTGACGGAATTGATCTGGATTTTGAAATCCCCGGAACTAGAGAGAGCCCGCCAGAGGATAAGCAAAAATTCGCGCTGTTTTTAACGGTCCGTTGGTTATGTAATATTAAAAATTTTATATTCATAATAAAATTTATTTCAGCATAAAATTTCATATTAACAAACTTAATTTTATATAAAAATTTACAAATAATAAATTCCAAAAGACTTCATTTTATATAAAATTCATAAATAAAACTCACTGAAACATCAATTTTAAACGAAATTTTCGATAATCTTCCAGGAATTTCGCCAAAATGTAAAGGACGAAAGCTTAAGAACTGGAAGGAGTGCGTTGTTACTATCAGCTGCAGTGGGATCATTCAAAAGTGACATAGACGCAGCTTACGATATTGACGCATTGAACCGGTAGGTTAAATTTTTTCATATCGAATTAATATTATTTTGAATAATAAAATATAAACAAATAAATTTTTATTTGCCTTTTCATTAAGTAATGAAACAATATTGAATTAATAAATAAATGTTCATTTATTTATTCATTCACTCATCTATCAATTTGTCCATTCGTTCGTGCATTTGTCGTTCATTCGCTCATTCATTCATTCAATCATTCATCCATTCAACTATCTTCTAATCGTTCATAAATAGTGACAATTCGTTAATTTCATATTTATTAATTAAATTTAAGAAATCTAAATTTAATTCTCCAAAACTCTTTCAGAAATCTGGATTTCGTTAACCTCATGTCATACAGTTTCCACGGGGATTGGGATACCGTAACGGGATTTAACACTCCGTTATACTCTGATCCTGGAGATTACCAATCCGTTGTTAGTGATTTTTTATAACATTAACAATAGTCCAATGGTCGAAGCGTCTGGTACTGCCTTTCACCGATCAAACGTTTAATGTATATTCAGGATTGGGCCGCTAAATATTACGTACAAAATGGGCTAGATCCCAAAAAGCTCATAATAGGAATGGCTACGTACAGTTTGTGTTACAAGTTGCAAGATTCGACGAGGTATTCGGTCGGTGATCCGGTCATCGGTCTGTGCGATCCCGGACCGATAACCGGTGAAACCGGATCGTTAGCCTATTTCGAGGTAGATCCTTGGTTTATTTTCACGAAATTGTTATTAAAAAATTACACTTTTTAGGTTTTGAAATTTTAAAATTTGATCTTAATAATTTCAAAAATTCATTCGTTCGTTCATACATTCGTTCGTAAGTTCATTCATTTATTCACTTGATTACATGTGTTTGTTCGTTTGTTCACTTATTCATTCATTCATTCATTCATTCATTCATTCATTCATTCACCCATTCATTCATCCATTCATTCATTCATTCATTCATTCATTCATTCATTCACTTGCTAAGGTTTGTCAGTTACTAAACGATCCGAACACAATAGTTCAATGGTCTGACGTGCATAAAGTCCCGTACTTAATCAATGGAAATAGATGGGTGTCATACGAAGATGAGGACAGTTTGAAAATTAAAGTCTGTGGAGATTCATTCTTTTAGAAATTCATCCATTCGATGATTCATTCACTTTTCCAATCATTTATTCATTCACTCGTGTAAATTATTTAACCACTTAATTAGTTAAGTTAGTCAGTTTAGTCACAGATGGTAAGAATTAATATAAATGTTTTATGCTTCTAGAATGTAATCAACTTTTACACGTAATCCTTCTTCAAAGGCCACATTACTTTAAAAAATTAAAAATATCAGACGGACTACATACGAAATAACGGCTTCGGTGGTTGGATGGTATGGGAGCTATCATACGATGATTTTTTGGGGTCGTTTTGTGGAGGGGGTCGCAAGTACCCCCTCATTTCCGCCCTCAGTAACGGTGTTATGGGCAGCAATACGACGTTAGTTTCACTTTTATTTAGCGGTAGCTTCTTTCACACTGAATCATTTTTTACCTTCTGACACTTATGAAAATTTATTTTTTTTTTGGTATTAAAATAAACTTGTTATTATTACCCATAACATTATATTACATATACTTATATTAAAATTTTCGTAATGAAAAATTCTTGTCCTACAAGGTCAATCCTAAATGACGATGAGCCACAGAAAACCACAGAGCAGCTACCAACCGCACAAACGCAGTCGTCGTCATCGTCAAGTCAGTTTTTTCTTAATTTTAATAATATCTTAAACACACAGACAGAAAGAGACAGATAAACAGAGATATACAGATTCATATGTAGACATATAGAGACACACAGATATACAAACAGATATATACTCATTTATACACTCACTCACTGTCACAAACACACACATTGATACACATACACACACAAACAAACAAACATATATACGAGCGCACACACACACACATGCACACACACACTTCCTTTCTCTCTTTCTCTCTCAAACACACACACACAAACACTTACACAAGCAAACACACATACACAAACACACACAGATCTTTGCGAAGGAAAGTCAGGTGACCTATTAGCACACCCAACAAACTGCGACCAATATATCGCCTGCTCTAACGGTGCCTCCTATACTATGAACTGCCCAGAACCGTTGTACTTCGATGACGATTTAAAGGTTTGCAATTGGCAAAGTGGGTTATCCACTGGCAGAAAACAAGAATGTAATATATCTTGAGTTATCTACCTCTTACTGCAGACAAATTTTTCGCTAGAGTAATTTTTTACATGAATTAGTTTTGCTAGCAAGAACTTTTTTTCATTTTTTTTACGAATGCCATTTTTCTTTTTTAAATTTTAAAATTTTATTTATATTTTTGAGAGTAAATGTTTGAAATTACAATTTTCACACACAGACGCACGCACACACACACACACACACACACACACACACACACACGTACGCACACATATATATATACACTAACACGCATTCCATCACAATTCTCTTTAATTCATCCATTCATAACTTTTAAAGGAAAGCGAATATCTTCAGTTATATGTGTTATAAGTTTTATATCTATTTATTTTTTAATTTAATTTATTCATATTTCAAATCTGTAATATTAATAATTATTTATGAATAATGGATTATAATAGTATAAATAATAATATAGATAAAAAAATTTTTCCTCTGACGTAGTCTTCTTGGCTAGAAAAAAAATCTATATGTGGTTTTTTTCATTCCTCTCTATAAGACATTTGATGCCATTGTTGAATAATTTTTTTATTTCATAAGTTTTTATAAAAATTAATTTTGAAGTTTAAGCTATAGAATTAATAAAATCATCCAAAAATCGGTTTCGTTAAAAAAATGATGTTGGAATGAATTGATAAAAAAAATGTCTTCATTGTCTAGTCAGCTAAACACACACCCATAGAGAAAGATACAGATACATACACAGAAGGTATAAACTTACACAAACATACACACACACACATATACAAAAAAAATGAGTTTTGGCAATTTAGAATGTTGCTATTATTATCATAACAATCATCATCCGTAATAAATTCTTTGTAGTAGAGACATCGGACCCGGCGGCAAATTTTTCCGTTTGATAAGTGGAAAAAATTTATTTGTCGGATTTGGATAAAGTGAGGAACGTTTCTTCTTTCTCCTACCAACATTTTGACAAGCCAAAAAATATCGTTCGTTGTAAGAGGGCCACATCAACTGGTTCTTATTTTGAGCTCTGCTGGCTTCGCTTAACGCATTTTTTCTGTGATTTTGAAGGCGTGCGACGTTACTACTGTTTCGGTTTGTTTCGACAATAGCTGAGTACGATGGTGGTCTGTGGTGGTGGGATTGGTCACCTTTTTCTACCGGGACTGAATAGTATAACTTGTTGTCCTCAATGTAGTAGTGTCTGTTGTTCGAGCTCCGACACAGACGGCGATTTCTTGTCCTGTGAGAGCGTTTGTCCCCGCCAACGAATGTTGCATTCCTTTTTGGACTCGAGGTTAATCTTTCGGTAAAGTAACTGCTTTCCAATTCTTTCATGCTTTTCGGCCCTTGGCATTTTCTGTGATTTTTCTTCTTGCTATTTCGGAATTCTTTGCAGTTGTCTGGACGTTCGGCTGGTAGGTCGAACAACTTTTTGTGAAAGGCGATTGGCACGCACTTGTCTTTGTTTTTTTCGAAGAATAATTTGCAGGCCTCCTTCACTGTCATGTCTCCCTCAATGGCTTCTGATGCTTTGGGCGGTTTATTTTTCCTATCTAGAGGATCACATACAACCGGCGGCATGTTTGGATTGTAATTTTTGCAGTGACTTTTTTGCAAGCATGGTTTGTTCATGACTGGCGGAGGTGTGAGTGAATACAAATTTGTGACGACGTTTTTCGAGCACACGCCGTACGATGGGTAGTTGGTTGTTGGACCAAGTAGATGGGTGGTTTTCAAAATTTCCTTGTCAACGTTGCTCTTATGAAACTCCATTTGCTTCTGCAGATGGAACTTGATATTATTTGGAAACTTTTGGTGCATGTTTGTTGTTGGAGAAGTGCACGGCGGAGAACGGCGAAGAAACAAGCTTGGGTCGTTAGAAATTGGGACTTGGGGAGAGCACGGGCTGTTACGAATTGGTTTCGGACATCGATAATCACCATCTCCGAGGAACGTTTGATTGTGGCCAATGCATGGTCGAGCTGGCTCTGCGCAAAATGGTTTCACTTCTTTATCTCGAACGGATTTTATGCAATCTGTGCACAAAGAGTTTTCGTTATAAACATTCGATCTAGCGCTATTTCGCGACGATTTTGAATCATTTCCAATTAATAACTTATTGCTAGTTGGTGATCTACTTCTGCTTTTCAGACCAGAACTCAAACTTTTTAAACTGGAACCAACAGCGGAATATACCTTAGTTGCTAAATTGCTAAATTCAGACAATTTTTTTGATCTCGACGACATTCGAGAGCCAGGCGAAACGCCGCCACTGACTGCTTCCACTTCTTCACTTCTGGAACTGTGCTTACTTGACGGTGACGCCGGAGAACTCAACTTCATGGAAAAGGCATGAGCAGCATTTTCTCTCAGCAAACCTCGAAGTATTTCGTTCTCTCTTTCCAAAACAGCAACTTCTTCATCGGATTTATCTTTCTGTCTCAAACCCGAACTACCCATCGCATCTATCATGTAAAATCTGTCACTGAAATTATTCCTGGAGTTCTCGGCAGTGTTTTTTCTTCTACGGTAGAGGAACAGCATACAACTGATTTCGTAGAAATAAACCAACCGAATAAAAATTTACTCAATTTTTTTTCTACTAATTTGTAAGGTAATTTGTAAGGTAAGTTAACAAAAGTTTCGCTGTCCAGCAATTTTAACTTTCAATTCAATCAATATACATACAATTAAGATTGAATTAAAAATTTATTTAAATTGTATACAATTAAAATCACATCATAATAGAAGCCAACCATGTGCATATTGCAATGAGGAGAATTGCAAGGAGGATAACAAGGAAGAAGTGATCCGTAAAACTCCACCAGCCTAAAATTTATTTGATTCTGATTCATCACATACTAGCAATTCTTCATTTTGAATTTCATTTCAAAATAATTAAAAACTAAAATTAAAATGTATGAAAAAATGAAAAATGACGAAAGAAAAATGATAGAACATAATTTTACTGCGGTCGCAGGTCAGTCCATAATAGCCGAACGGACAGTTGCAACCAAGCGATGTGACGGGGGTCGGGTTTGTGGAACTGTTTGATTTCCGTTTCTTCAGGCAGACTCCGCCATTCAAGCACAATCCAGGCACTTGCGAACATTCACAACTTTCGAAAAACATTTCTAAAACATTCCACATCCGAAAAAATACTTACAAATTACAAAAAGTCATCAAATGTTTTTTATCATTATTATTCTTTAAAAATCAGAATCTAACAGACGCAGAAACTGTTACAGCATGCAAGGCAGTAGTACAAAATTAAACGAATAAGTAAATAAATAAATAAAAAAATGAGAAAGAAAAATTAAAAAAAAAACTTACTCGACATTTTCTTTAAGAAAACCGAGTGTATCAACCCAACATAAAGTCCTCATTCGCTGCTCGCAAGACAACGGTGCGGAACAAGCGAAACCCTCATAATCGCCTCCAGCACATCTGACATTGCTGTAAGGCATGTTCGTTATGATGCAGACTCTGTACCTCGATTTGAAGCCATCGCTTCCACATGTGACACTGCACACTGACCATTCACTCCACGGTGACCAGGACAGGTTTGGAATTTCGAAATTTCTTTCTATCATTCTCGTTATGTGGTTCTCAATATTTGGAGGGAGAGAAAAGGCATTGGAGGCGATGGTTGTGAAGTTGTCTGGCAGTCCGTTTGATATTGGAAAAATTGCGCCAAATTTGAATTGGTATTCATTCTCGCTTGGGTTTTCTAAATCAACTTTCAATATCCCGACCGTTTTAACGCTCTGAAACCTTATAATCCTGTTGTTGCTCCAGTGAAAGTTGTTAATCGGAAAATCGTCAGATGTTGTGAGAGATTTTATAATGTTCGGATCAAACATGATTTGATAGATGTTGCGCTTATACTGGTACATGTTGGATAGCATGGAATGAACAGTCCATAGGTAGTGCACTGTTTGTCTGTCTGTCCACGCCGCCATGTCTCTGGTAATCCAGTTGTCCCATTTTATTAGGTCACTCATCAGCGATTCCATATGTTGAAACAACTTGTTGATTGATGATTTGTCTGCAATTTTACTTCCGATGTTCGGTAGAATTGGGTTTGTCTGTTGTTGTATCTCTTGTTGCGCTGGCTCTGAATCGAAAATGTTGGTTCTTTGTATTAGGGGGTTGTCTCTTTTTTGGAGTTTTCTTAAAAACCCAACCGACTTATTGCTAATTTTTACCGGTTCATTGACGATTTTGTGAACGTGATCTAGTAAATTAAACATCACCTTGAACTTTTCAAACAAAACAATATCTCTGTTGGCGTTGGTCTTTTCTTGGATTAGGATATCGTTCACATCTGACATTGTTTTGTTGAGCTCCACTAAAAAGAGCGAGGATGGGCTGGGAACGTATGAAGCAATTGTATCTAGAGTTACACTTGCTGTCGTTCAAATACAAATTTATTTATTATTAATTATCGTTATTAACTATATTTTATTGTAACTATATTGTAAAGAATTGCAAAATTGAATTGCTTTCAGGTTGTTTTAATTATATAATTGTTAGTGGAGATATTCAATTTAATTTTTATTTGAATTTAAAAAAAATTTAAAGTACCATTTTGTTGAAGTGCCCGAGATAAAATAGCTATTAAAAGCAGTAGAAAGAGGTTAGAAATATTTAATAGGGGCATTTTCTTTGGGCTAATTAATTATTACTTCACTGTTATTGTTGTTATTACAAAGATTGGGTATTGTGGAGGTGGAGGTGGAGGCCGATGATCGCCATTGTCCTGAAAGAAAGAAAGAAGAAGAAATTATTGTTATTATTATTATTATTATTATTAATTGATTGGTTGATCAATTGATTAGTTAATTATTCAGTTAGTAGGATAGAAGAAAAATAAATTTGACCAATAAGAATGTCGTTTCGGCGCGATGATTTTATTATGAAATGAAAAATAATAATCGATCAATAAACAACTAAACTATATAACCAACTAAATAGCTGAATGAATAAATAATAGAATGAATAAATAAATAAATAAATTTATTAAACTAATAAACTTATATAAGTGAATGTAAAAAAAAAGAAGCAAGAAAAAGTCTGTTTATAAACTAGTGTGTGACGTGTTCGGGCTAAAATAAATTAAAATCTAAAAACTTCATTGGCACACGGTTTCAAATAATTTCTGTGTGCGTGTGTGTATGTATGTGTGTGAATGTGTGAGTTTGTGTGTGTATGTGTGTCTCTGTCATGTACCTGTGTTAGTGTATAATATTGAAAAAAACGTTGCCATATTTATATCATTATTAGCAGTTTTTTTGTTGCTATTGCTGTTGTTATTGTTGTTGTTATTGTTGTTGTTGTTCTTCTTATTATTATTTATGCATTTATATAGCGCTTAATAAAATAAATTCTCTCAAAGCGCCATTTCAATACGTGTATGTTGTTGTGCTGTGCTGTGATGATCGTGTTTTTCTGATGTAACAGATGGTTGAATCGTGGATGAAAGATTTTATGTTTGATTGAACGCTATTTGTGTGTGTGTGTGTACGTTTGTACGTGTGTGTGTGTGTGTGT